CATTAAGAGTTTTAAACTTGCCACGCAAGTTCTCCACAACGTCAAATCGTGAGGAGAAGACATCGATCCAGTGAATCAAGACGTGCGGATCGTCAACGGAGAGCAAACTCGACGCGAGCACTCGAGGGAGGCACTCCATCGCCACCGTGAAGAACCCAGTTTTAAACAAAGAGGAAGAACCAATTTCGTTCTCCTCTCTTTTGTAATCAAGTTGTAACCGAGATCAAAGAAATACAAAATCAAATTTTCTTTATTCTCTTCTTTGATAATGAAGGTTAAATTGCACTTAAATACCACAATGTTTCCCCACTGTCACTTATGTACCACAAGTTGTTTGTGTCAAAAAATACATAAATTGTTTAAAAAAATTATCACGAGTGTCATTGATCATGCAAACATGCAAATTTTCACTCGAATGTTTCTCTATAATACTTACGTGCTAATTTAAAGCTTTGTAACTATTAATATCTATTAAATTTGATATTAAATCAACCAAAAAACCTATTTCAAACTTACGTTAATTCTATTTTAAAATAGAATTGGACTATGTCTAATGATAAATGTAAGAAATATTAATGGTTTGAAAGGTATCAAACTAACATGCTAGTGTCAAATAGGAACATTCAAGTGAAAATTTTCACTTTTCCATGACCGCGGGAATATATGTGTGCCAATCTTTTAACAACTTAAGGTATTTTTCTAACACGAAATACAACTTGTGGTATATAAGTGTGACATAGCGGGGAAACATTGTGTTATTTAAATGCAATTTACCCTATATTGAAATTATTAGTTTAAATGAGATCATTATGCTTTTTTTTAATTCATGTGTTATTAAAATTAATTTCTTGTCACATTTTTAAGTTTTTTTATTATATTGATTATTATAAATTGAAAATTGCTCATTTTTAACTTGACATTCAAATGGTCCTTTTAAATCATAATTTAAACATTAGGAAAGGGCTGAAACAAACTGAACCATGTTTTACAAGCTTTGAGAAATGGGTATAAAACATAGGATATACATCCAAGAAGTATATGACAAGTGTTTTAAATTAAAACATACATCATACAATTGAGTACATGTCTGAAAAAATGTATGCATATACCCAAGGAGTGTCATGAAGTTTAGGTATGGATATGTGCCGGATTTGTGACTTCATAATAGAAGTATCCTGATAACATAGTTGAACACTA